ATTTTCTTATGAAATTTCTTTTTGTGTGTATTTAAATTTAAATTAAGAGTTTTGTTTAGATGTTTCAATTCTTGATTCTTTTGGACTATACCATTGGAAAAAAAAAATAATATGTTGTAAGTCATATTATGATGAGTATTAGACAATGTAAAATTGTATAGAATAAATGTCGTGTGACTGACCAGGACCCTGGGTGAATGTATTGAATGTATGATCATACTGTCTTTGCATTGTTTTGTAGAGGGACTTTTGTATAATGGTAAAACTTTGAAAAATGGGATAAGATGCGCACATCGTCCCCAAAGATTTCTTGAATTTTTTTTTTTTTTAATTGAATGGAGTTGTGTATTGCTACATTTATATTTATTTATTCTTGTTTTGAATTTTATAAAAATACTGGCGTTCAGTTTTTTTTTATTTCAGGTCAGAGGTGATGTGGGGGGCATTTGTCAAAAATATGGCCTATTTTAACCTTTTTTTCTGCGTCATCTCTCCTCCTTGAAATAATTCTAATTTTTACATGAGGTTTAGTTTTTATTTTAAAGGGATATAGCAATTAATTACTTCTACTTCTTTTTCACTGCCACTGTTTGTATTAAGAACGGACTGTACCAGCCTAATTAAGATGCAAAAAAAAAGCTCGAGGTTATGTCATCTGGAAAGCTGAGTTGTGCCGACAGCTGATTGGCTGGCGTGAGATGTCATGTCTACTTCATGTATAAGTAAGTATCTTGCATCGCTCTGGCTTCAGCATTAATGTGTTTGGCATCAGCATTAATGCATTTATGCATGCACATAAAGTTTGTAGCTTTGAGGTCCAGATTATAGATCATTTCGGATTATGGATGCCCAGATTAGAGACTTTGTACTGTACTCAAGTGTCTATTGTTTACATTAAATAGTAGTTAAATGTTTACTCATCAAATACATGCTTGTCAATGCATCACTAAAAAATATTACTCTTAAATGTTAATTCACACTCAAATAGCAGTAGTAAAAAAAACAGACAGAAATGTCAGATAAGTAAAATTAAAAACTTTTTGCCAATTTTGGTCAAAATTAAGGTCTTTAAGTACCAAATCTCATTTCTAAAAAATTAAGGCCTAAGGACTGTACAAACCGTAGTTAAGATATGTTGGTAAACTCCTTTATAACCCAGCAGGACCATCATAATGTAAATGAAAAGTCACTAAGGGCATATAACAGTGAAGAGGCTTGAAAGTGATATTTACTACTGAAAGCAGGTAAGGTGTAAGACTGCTGTCTCAAGAGCAAAGGTTAAGAATGGCAAGTAGTTCTCCAACGGGATAACACAGCAAAAACGGCACAATGGATTCCAAATTGTTAGGACTTATTGGGTGATGAGAACATCTTTACGAGAGATCAGTATTTGGTTTTGCTTCATTACAATAAATTCTTTTTTAATCAATTCAACAGCTCTGAAGCCGACTTTTAATTTTACAGCAGGGTTCATGCTTGTTTGCAGTTCTAAAAGTTTCAAAACGTTCTAGTAAATCACTTTAAAGTTCCAATTCTAAAGGGCTTTCAGCAAGTCCAATAGAATTTTTTCAATGTTCTCAGGAGTACTTACAGGACTTTCTTTTGTTTTGTTTGTTTCATCTAAGGCCTTTGCCTAGATAGTGTTTCCTTTTTTACCATAACAGCAAAAGTTTAACTGTACACTGGATATTATTTTGGAAGACCAGAACATCTAACCACATGGGCTTAAAAAGAAGTATTAGTTCATTACTTGAATAAAAAATACAAATCATTGCATTAGGGTGTTATCACCAAATTTAGGAATTTATAATAAAATAATCCATACCCCCAAAAGGACAAAATTGTTTGTAATATTTTATGAAATCTTTATCCGCAAAAAAGAACTTAAGAGTGGTGGCCAAAATTGTGGACACTTTTGGAAATTTTTATGTTTTTGAACTTTGTACGCTTATAGAAAAACGTACTTTCACAAAATCAAACGTTATTACACCATTTTAAATAGAATTATTACTGAATTCAATAAAACACAAAATTCATATTTGCAATACAAAAAGTTAAACAATATAGTATGATATACATTAGATAGTGATGATTGCAGTGAGTTGTCAGTACTTGTAGGATACCCTTATTTCTACTACATATCACATCGACGTTTCTGAGTGACAAGGTTTTAAGCCCTCTTTCGTTATTGCATGATGCAGGAAACATATAGCTCAATTATTCCCTTTTATTGATGGTGCCTCATTCGGACAAGATTTCAAACGGGCCACAAATTTTCGATAGGAAGAGGCAGGAATGTTCCTGCCATGACAACAATTAATGCTATTTGTACGAAACCAATTTTACGATACTTTGGCCGGTGGCAAGAAGCAGAACCTGCTGAAATAAACGAACATTGTTGGGAAGAATCTCGATGGAAGGTAGAATAGTGTCAATGTATTTTTTGGCATTCAGTGGTCCCATCGATGACATGAAGGCGACCAATACCATCTCTACATGCATTACCAAATCAAACACTAACTGGGTTCTTCACAGTTGCTTGAATGCAGTCAGGATGTAGCTCTTCTCCTATTCACGTCTTTACATATTTTCGCCATCACACCGAATCGATATCTTAGTTTCATCACTCCATATAATTGTACCACTGATCATCTATCCAATTTGTTCCTTTGCCCGCTATAGTTTTTTTTTTTTTTTTTTTCATTGGCTGAAAATTAACAAGGCTTTTTTCGGGATTTTACCTCTCAGTCCAACATCTTTAATCTCTCTGATTGTTCTTGAACTGACAGGAACACTTCACATCATTCAGATCACTTCTGATGCTGCTGAGACATTTTTCTCTTGGAGACTAGTCTTTTTATTCTCTGTCATCATAGATGTTGCTGCCTTTTTCGGCCTTTCCTTCTTTTTTTTTATTGATTTGTCTGATATCGTAAACAAAATTTCGGACTCCAGAGTAGTCTGAACCACCCCTTCTTGCAATTTCAGCATAGGAAAGACACTTTCTCACAAATATTTACATCTTTTCTGTGTCCATCACTCTTTATTTGATGTCTGACATTGCTTCTTGACTAAATATTAAAAATTTTTACAAAAATTCCTACTTGTAAGCGTGTATAAGACAGGTCCTCCTTCTACAGAACAAAGAAAATAATGAATTGTTTCAAGTGTAAACAGATATCAGTTCTACTGGCACTTACTAACATTTGATTGGTTCTAACAAGAACAGTGACTGCCAGGAACCTAGACTTATAAACCACTTCATAACTGTGTTTTTTATTTATATTAAAGTACATATAACTTTTTTATATTGCAAATAACTGAATTTTGTGTTTTCTATTGAATTCAGTAATAAATTTGCTTTAAAATGATATACACAAGTTTGCATTTTGCAAAACGTAACATTTTCTATAAGCATACAAAGTTCAAAAACTTAAAAATTTCCAAAAGTGTCCACAATTTTGGCCACCACTGTATTTCAAAGTGCTTATGTTTTAACCGAGGCAGTGCTTTGTGTGTAAATATGAATTTTTATTTTTTTTTTCCAAAAGTAAAAATTATTCACTCTGATGTATAGCCATTTAATTAAAAACCTAAATTTTTAAATTTTGAATAAGTAAACAATTTTTGCATATAATCACTTGAATATATTTACAGAATTTTAACAATTCTTTGTAATGTATAGCAGCATGAATTATACATTTTCTACAGAAAACATCATACTTACTTGAGCAATGTATTTAACATGATAGCTACTTTATTGACAAAGCTCAACTCAATTCCTGGAGCAACTAAAAGTTCAAATAATACTTTGATAAAGTTAATATGATCTTCTCTCGAAAACTTTCGACCATACAATCTTATATATCTAAGAAGAAAAGAAAATCCAAATGAATAAATACAAGATAAAATATTAAATATTGACAATACACATTTCAAATATATTGACCAGCAATTTGTCTATAACTGTTCAAGCACAAGAAATGTCTTTATTACTCAATCAAATTCTATTTTTATTAATAGTATTTACTGCATACCTAAATATATCTTATATCAATATTAAATTCATTACTTGGTCTCTGAGTATTTCTTTGAATTACATTTGATGAAAGATTATATTTAATGATTAAATAAATAATATACCTCAGGAAATTATTATAACAGAATAAAAACTGTACGTTTTTGGCATTCAACAGATTATTTCAACATGCAGATGATGAATCAAGTTCAGCCTTTTTAATGAAGATTTTCATCTGGCCTCAAATATTGTTGCTTTTCTCATTTAAGAAAAATTCATGTTTTTCCTCAAAGTATTTTTGGTACTTACGAACTATCACAACCATCTTGCAGCAATTTGGCGATTTTTTACAGAAGAAAATGTAAAAGTTACTCAGCACGTGCAAGTTGGTAGTTGCACTTCTTGTTTAGAAAGATTCCCACACTAACGATATTTACAGCAAGTTTGGTAACAATATCAACATAGAAAAAGAAAATATAATTTAGCAACTTAAAATACAAATTTGAATTATTAAATAAGCATTTTCCAAATCTGCATAATTCTCTAAAACAGGTCGATGCATACGTGGAAGAAAATTAGGGAGAAAAAAGTTATTATATTATAGATGTTTCTTTTGGTTTAGATCCAGTTACTTTGTTGCTGCTCTATGTAATTTTTTGTGCCCCACTATTTTTAAAAATGCTATAGTTTAACACATCTGAGGTTGCCATAAAATTAGTCACCAATACTTGGTGACTTTGCAGAAGGGTCTGGTGGACATTCCAAAAATATCGAAAATTTAATGAGTGCATTTTTTGATGGGACTGAAAACATAAAAAAATTTGTAGTACTTTCTGATTAAATGCACTTTGTGAAAACATTCAAGAGTTACTACAGCATCATGTCAAAACAGGCAACCCCTGGCACAGTCAGAATCCAAATACACTGGTCATCAAAATTAAAGGATAATGACAGAAAAAAAATGTAATTGATAAGTAATAAAAAATTAATAGAAATTTGTACAAAAGCATTAGTTAACATAAATTACAATGTTTGACAGTTGATTATTCGAATAATTCAAAATATTAAAATTAATATAAAATTTATGGAAATTGGAAAATGATGGAAAAGGTATGTTACCTCTCATTAGTGATGGGCGACTTCGGTACTTTCTTGTACCCGGTACAAAATACCCGTTACTTTGAAAAGTACCGAAAACCGATTTCAAATACCGAGTACCCAAGTAACGATTTGGAGTACCGAAGTAACGGTTTGCTGTACCGGAGTACCCTAGTAACGGTTTGCTGTACCGGAGTACCTTAGTAACGATTTGGAGTACCGAAGTGCCCTACTAACGATTTGGAGTACCAAAATACGCAGCTAACGATTTTGCGCACTGAAGGAACTCTGCCACGTCACCACGTGTTAGATTTTATCCGTACGGAGTAAGATTTTGAATATCGGAAAACATGTCAACTAAATAACTGTCTGAGGAGCAGGCCATTCATGGACACAAGGAGCACATATCACCATTTCCCAAATACAACCAGATACTACTGTCCTCGTACCAAAACTGAAGTGAGCTGAACCCTCATCGATCCTCCAGTAACGAATACCGAAATACCGAGAAGAGACGCATATTTTCGTTACAAAGTAGCGAATACCGAAAAGTACCCGTTTCGGTACAGAAGTAACGAATACGGAAAAGTACCCGTTTCAGTACAAAAGTAACGAATACCGTTTCGGTACAGAAGTAACGAATACCGAAAAGTACCGATTTCGGTACTGAAGTAACGGGTACTTGGATGTACCGATTTTCAGTAGCTGTTACAACTAAGTACCCGTTACAAAATACCCGGTTCGGTAGTACCGACTCATCACTACCTCTCATGGAAAAAATTTTTCTTTAGTATTGGGTATGCTCACCTTGGACAGATATGCATATCTCATATCTTTATTTCATAGACTTTACCAAAGTATTGATCAAGTCTTCTGGAATTGCCTGCAATTTTTCTAAAAGTGCACTTTTCAGCTCCTGGAGGGTATGAGGAGAAATTTGGCGTGCTGCATTTTGGCACATTAAGGCACCCCACATATGCTGAATCGAGTTCAAGTAGGGTGAGTAAGAGGGCAAATCCATTCGAATGATATACAGTCAAAAGTCGTTAATCCGGACGTCCATAATCCGGAATGATCTATAATCCGGACCTCAAAACTACAAACTTTCTGCATATGTGTAAACGAAAACGCATGCGCATATGCATTTACACATGCACATAATACTTTTATGCATGCGCATATGCATTTACGCATGTGCGTTTAATGTATAACGAACGGTATAAGCTAAGCTAAAATTATCTTTTTCAGTTCACGTTGCCGATTGCGTAGTTTTTTAATCTTTGAATTGGATCCGGCTTATTATTTTTTGCAGACTGTTAGAGCAATTTTATAAAAGTAAGCTTGAACTTTCGATCATGTCAAAAAGAATTTCCGATTCTGGAGCTGCCAAAGGATCTAGAAAGCGAAAGCATGTTTCGATGTCCATCAAACAAAAAGTGGAATTGCTGCAAAAAATGGATAAAGGCATATCCTTTTTTTTTCTAACCATTCCGAAATCTGTTTATCAATTTTACGCTGTTCTGCAGGGGTGGGGGGAAACGTCACGGCACGCAATGAAGTGGAAGTTGATCTGTCAGCACTATCCTTATCTTCAGGGCAGATTTTATTCTATTCGGCTTATAATTCTTTACTAAATGTAGTATTTTATCTCGATGTGCTCCATCTTTGATACGATTTAAATCAAATTCCTCGTCATTATAAATATCACGAATACACATCAAATAGTTTTCTGGTTGCAATTTTCTAATTTCGACTATGCATAATGTATGCTTTATGCATGTGCGCCTTGATGGAAATGTTTAATAAAGTAAACAAATAAATATTAAGCTTTTTTTTTTTTTTTTTTTGTAAATTTTGATACCCTTTAGATCATAATTGCTCTTTATTTCATAAATTACGGTTTCATATTTTTAATTTTATAATTTCTGCATGCCATTTTACCAGATTTAAATTGATGATCTATAATCCAGAATCGCCGAAGTCCCGATGAGTCCAGATTAAAGACTTTTGACTGTATTTTTTTTTTGCAAATATTGACACCACATATGCTCGATGAGACCGAGCGTTGTCATCCATTAGCTAAAATTCTGGGCCATCAGCACTCTTAAGCAGTCTAAACTGGGGTTCCAATAACTCACTTACATACCTCCAAGCAGTTACAGAACCTCTTTGAAAGATATGCAACTCAGTGCAGCTATTTGCCATAATGCTCTACCATGCTCAGTGCCCCATCATGGTCACAGAAAAGGAATGTTTCATGGATGAGGCGAAGGCAAATTGTGTGCTCCTTCCTCTCTCCAGATCAGAAAACATCTGGATCACTGTTCAGACTGTATCTGAACTCATCAGTAAACAATACTTGGGCCCAGTTGTCTTGACTCCATTGAATATGACGACGGCACCAGTTTTAATGAGCCCCTGTGGACGCTGGAGTAAGTCGGACAGAAACCATTGTTTTTCTCGCATACAGTCCAGTCTCGTTAAGCCTTTGTGCAGTAGTAGAACTGCTAATCCGAGTTCCTGTTGCAGATGAAAGTTTGAAACCAAATCTCATGTAGCTGCTTTGCGATTTCTTTGAGACAACAGTGACAGAAAACGATCTTCTGATGCAGTTGCTGCTCTTAGTCAGCCTTGGGCAATCTGTCTATTACCTGATCCAGTGCTTAAAAAGTGATTTAAAACCCTTGACACAACACTTTAAGAGATATACTAATCTTGGGCAACCTCAGTCCAAAGGAACAATTTGAGCAGAAGGACTAGGAATTTTGTTTTGACATTTTGCGTTGAAATGTGGGTTCGGTTTTCAAATTGTTGGCACCCAATATTAGAGCACTGTGTTATATTTAAAGAACTTAAATAATGAAGAATCTGCATAAATGTATATGTTTCTCGCATTGTGATAAAACAACGATAATCTAGAGACATCAAATTTTGAATAATGCACATTTCCACCCGAATCTGGGCATCTGGAAGCCCAAATTTGGAATGTGTTTTATTATCTATTTCATATTTTATAAAACTTTAACAAATTTTTGATTAACAAAGTTCAAAGTTAACACAAAGTTCCAAAAACTCAACGATTTCAAAGCGAGCAAAAACAAACCTATTTATCTCTAGCGCACGAGACTGCATATCGGAAATTCTACAGGTATGCTCATTTAAAAATTATTTTGTGATATTGCCGTTAAACTGAATTTTATGGTTTAACCCTTTGCGGCTCAGTGTTCCACTACATGGAACACCCAAATTGAATCGCTTCTGAAACCTTTAAATTCAACCGTAAATAGATAAAAATGCCTTTATCATATACTTTGAACTTTTCTTTTTAAACAGTAGATAGCAGCATATCACAAGGATACACAGAATTTTCATTTATTATGTGTTATTAAAATCCACTTTTTTTTCAAGTAATTTTCTCTATTTTTTAATGATATAAAAAAATTTTATTTGGAAAAAAATTAGGCATAATTTTGCTGGCTGTACTCCAAACTATTTGTTCTATATTTTTTTTTAATCTTTCATACAAAAACCATACGCAGAATCACTGAATGAAACCAGGTGTTCTATTAGCGGGAACACTGCGCCTTTAATGCTGTTACAAATCAGAACATCTGTGCTTAGGAGAGAACATCCGTTGTTTTTGGGGGGATGAATTCAAACAAAGCAGTATTGAGGGGTGAGGTGTGTTTTGTGTTATGAAAGCCATAATATTGGCATCTCGAATTTTTTGGGAGTAGTTTTTAAGTGGGAATTTTATTAGTAGCTTGACTCATCTTTTCTTAGACCTGCGCTAATTTTTTGCTGTCGCATTTTAGTCTCATTTCTATTTATTTTCAATAATTTTGTAGATATTTTTCGTGTATGTATATATTATAGGCTTATTTTTCTTTATTGTTAACATTAATTGTAGTTAATTTTTTATTATTAATTTTCCATAAATGGTGCGAAGTGGTCTAACTCTTTCCGAAGCGCTCCTTCCGAAAATTTGTAAATAATTTTGTATACAGGACTTGTGTATATAGATATTTATCTCATTTATCCGTATATATTCAAGAATATTGTGTATATCCAGGAAACCATGTATACAGCCATAATACAGAGTTTTTTCTTTCTTATACAAACGCTTCTACTCATTTTCGTGCTTCACTGCAATGCTCGCTTAGTCGCACTTTTAAAAGCTCTGGCGGTGCAGTGTTCCACCTCATGGAACACCCACAGAATTAAAACGGTAACTGCAATTTTTACAAAATTTTACCTGTATACTCCTTTAGGACTAAATAGACTGCATACAACTTTTTTTGTTGAAATTCCGACGTTAGCGTATAGTGCGCTGCAAAGGGTTAAGTGTGAAGAACATATTTAATAAAAAAAAGGTAACACAAAAAGTGCTAAAAAACACCCCTTTGGGCTTAATTTTTTTTAAAGCAAAAACAGAATGTTGTGTACTTGGGAAAACAGTATGTACAATTCTCTGTTTTAAAGCTAAAACAGACTGATGTATATGTAGGGAGAATTGACAGTACTCAAAGTTCCAAATTGACATGGTGCCGATTTTCTCCACTTTTCTGATGTTTCTGAATCTAAAAATAGAGCATCGTATGCATGGGGAAAACAGTGCAAAATAATATGCATTTTATTATGCAGGTATCTTGCATTTTTTATCTCATTAATTTTTATTTATTTTATGCAATTCTTAATACGCTGTATTTTTAAAAATGGCTATTGACTTCCACATCTTAGCTTAGCGAAAAATTGTTGGCGACCTTTCAGGAGAGGGGGATGCAGATAATCACAGAGTATTTTTCGAATTGCTCATATTTTGCTTAATGGAAAAAACAGAAATTACATCACAGAATATAAAATCTGCATGAATGATCAAACCACATTAATTGTTATACTTAGTGCCCCCATACCAGAGACTTCCAAACTACATTGAATTCCCTAACGGTGCATTACGGAATTTGACGTAGTTTGGATTTGATCTTGTTTAGGAGACATGAAAGTTTTTTAGCATTTTGCTGTTGTTTCTGTATTATCATATATTACTACTGCCAATAATATTATGCTTGTATTCATATATCAGACAACACTGTAATAATACAATGCTACATAACAGTTATTTTGCTATAACTTCAAATTTAATTAAGGCATTGTGGAAGATTTCTCATTACAAAAGAAGAACACAGAATTAGAAAATTAGAACTCCTGATCAGGACAATGGTTTTAACTTGAAATGCTCAAGATTTTATAGTTACAGCAAATTTAATCAGTTTTACCAATACTAGGCATTTCTATTTTCCATCTTCTCTCGAGTCAAACATTTATAATATCAGTTTTTCTGTTTCTATATAATAAAAGTTACTAAATGTATCTAGAATTTAGTGCTTATATGGTTAAAGACATTTCAACTTATATAATATATGAATGATATATTTTTCCTGAAACAAAATTAGAGAAAGACAGAGATTCACAATTTGAGAAAGATAGTGATTCATAAATCCAGAACTGGCTATATCAGACCACAATCACACTTGTACTAAATTTTCTTTTTAAGATAGCGCATGAGAAAGAGTACTAGGGTAGTCTATATTTTAGGATATCCTTTGGATTATCACCAAGTTGTCATTCTATTAATGGTAACCTGATTATTTTATGTTGAATGTTTTGGAAACCCTATTATGATGTGATCGGTTCTAATGTATGATTGTGGTGGTTTTGATTGTTGGGAAAATATTTCTGGGGGAACATTATTTCTACATTGGCTGTCAGTTAGGAAGCACGTTGCTTATTTTGTGCTTCACAATGTGAAATGGCTGTTGGTGGTAAGATTAACCTGAAGTTTCTGTACAATTTGGAACAAGCAGGAAAGAAAACATTGATTAACTGGCATGTAAATGAAGATTTGGTGAATCTTCGGATTATGGTAACTTAGCGTTTTTTTGGTGAAAATTTGGGGACCAACCCTGCTACAGCAACCTGCTAGTTTTTTTTTTTTCCTTTGGACGCCATTTTGTTTTCACGAAGTAAAAGCTTTTTTTTTTTTTTTTAACTCAACATTTTTTCCAACAATCTGCTGGCCGAATTCCGCTTATGCCAGAACTTTTATGGAACAAAAGTGCTTAATCAAGACGAAGATTAGGTGCAAAATTAAGAGAAAATGCAGCATCACCCACTGTTTCGTGCGTTTTTAAGAACTGCACATACACGGTATCCATGTACACGTCGACCTATTTTCACTTTTAAAAAATATCCCAGAAATGAACAAAAATGGCACTGTGCACACGCTTGACTTTATCCATGTACACATTGACCTATTTTCACTTAAAAAGTCAAAGAAAATTGACAAAAATCCAGTTGTTCTTACTCTTGTAAAAAGCGCCAAACAAATAAGTGGGCGATTCTGCACTTTAGCAGCGAAATTGTTTCCAAGTGCTTATTAGCTAAAATCATGATTGGAGTTTTCCGGAAAATGTCACATGACATGTCTAATGATCTCTCATTTCTCCGAGACAAAATAATCTCTGATTTGAACTGTGTACTTCTCAGGTTATTGCTAAAGTCCTACCAAGTAACCTTTATCGCCTTACCAAAATGTCGCTAAACTACCTGTTACCATATTCCAAAGATTTAAATGGCTTTGTTTATCTCTCGGTAAATTACGCAATGACATTTAAGGATTCAGAAATTGGAGCTCCTATAAACTCTGTGGAAGGTATGCGAGGTGTAAAAAGGGTTTTTTGAAAGAAAGGCCAATGGCAGTACGGAAGATATTTTTTATTTTTATATTTGTGAATTTATGTGGCAATGGCAGTATAACGATTCTAGTTCTTATAATTTTTAACAGTTTTTCGGATTCTGTTAAGGAATTCTGTGTGCCACATACTGAAGACACAGAAATTTCTAAATAAGGTAAGTCGCTATTTCCTTTTTGTAGTGCGCAGATTAGATAATACGTATTTCCATTGTTATTTCCTTCTTTTATTTTGAGTTAAAATGCATTTGATTGAGATTCTAATTTTTTTATTTATTACATATTTGGACACTGCTGGGAGAGCATTGCATGTAAACAGGAATGGCAATGAAAAATAGCTAATTTTTGCCAAGGGATACCCTGAAACATATTTTGGCTCTAGTGCAGAATTGGGTGCCCCTTTAATTAGCAACATTTTTTTTTAATTTTGGCGATGAAACCTCATATCTGGTTACCTTGATAGTTTTAACTTTTAGCTTCCTGATTTTTTGTAAATGAAAATAGATTGATGTGTACATAAACAAATTTAAGGCAATGCCTAGTTTGTGCAATTCTGGGATGTATTTTTAAGTGAAAACAGATCGATGTGTAAATGGACAGAGTTTATGCAATTCTTCAACTTCTTATTTTGTTTTTGTGTAGCGGTCATCTTGAAAGACCGCTACACAAAGAGCCTTCCTGGAAAACAAAGAGCCTTCCTGGACACAAAGAGCCTTCCTTGAGGCCTTCCTGGAAGAAGAATTTGATTTTTATCAATTTTTTTAAGTGAAAATAGGTCGATGTGTACACAGATAAAGTCAAGTGAGTGGGCAGTTCCATTTTTGTGCAATTCTGGGATTTTTTTTTAAAATGAAAATAGGTCGATGTGTACATAGATACCGAGTATGTGCAATTCTTAAAAACATGCCAAGCAGTGGGTGATTCTGCACTTTCCCCGCCTTTTTACCCAATAATATAAAAATCAATGCATCAAAATTTATAAACTGGTTTTCTTATAAACTAGTATCATGAATTCTTAAAATTTTTTACATAATTTGTAGACCAGATGATGCCAGTTGTCTATGTGCCTCAAATCACTTCTTAAAAAATGTTACGCTGAAACCTAAAGAAGAGGTTTCACAAACTTCTGAAAATTCGTTTTCACTATTTATAATTTTATTATAACATTACACTTTTTACACAGGTGGTAATATTTTAAGTGCACACAATTACATAAATCATCAGAATTATAAATTATCAGTGGTATTACGTAAATTATCTGAGGACATTTTATTAAACATCAGCATTTACTATAAACAACATCTTTCAGAATAGACAATGCATATGAATTTCTTCAAGTTACGAACAGAGCATCATGTTAGACTACCGAAATGCATTAAAATTACAGGTTTGAAAAGAAACTGTTTACATCATATGTGTTGAAACTCAATACTTCCATTAAGCAGTGCCAATATTAAAGTATTTAATTTAAAACAGAAGTTCTCAGCTTTTTTTTTATTGCATCTGCTCTCTTTCACTTTGTGTAAAAACGTAATTCTTCTAAGAACATTTCATTCAAACTTCGAAATAAATAAATACTGAGCATACACTCTGCAGTTTTTTAAAGTATAATTAACTAACACAACTTATTTTAAGGCTTAATACTACTGATACGTAATATTTTCAAAACGAATCCTTCAAACAATTAATACAGAAGTCGGGACATGTCAAGATGTTCATGCTCCTCGGTATGCTATAGCAATCCACTAAGTTTTGAAAAAAAAAAAAAAATTAAATAAAAAAAATAATCAATATTTTCCAGAATGGAAAAAAAATTTTTTTTTCACTTCACGTAATACTTACACAGCCAACTGGCTTGTCCAGAAAGAAATATCACTTAGGTTCTGATGTAATATAGATTTGCCTAAGTTAGTTTTGATGCTAGCTAGATAGGTTTGAGATTCCTCATCAAGAAAATCAGTATAATGTAGTAACTTATTATATACTAGCTCTTTTTGAGGAATATAACCCAGTCTTTCGGCTCGTCCTTCCATATTTAAGCAATAACCGGTAAATGGGACACAACTTTGACGAATAACATTTATATTATTCAACAAAGTACAATGATTCAAGTTTTCAGGTGAGCATCAAATTTAGTTTTCATTTGATTACGTCAAAGTTTACAAAAAGTTGAGAGTGACGCAGCATGAGGCAGCAGTTTCGAAACAATGGAAAAACAACTCGGCGTATTTAAATTTGAATTTTCTTCTTCACCTTTAAGAGCAATTAATATAAAAAATTTCAATGTCAAATTTTAGGCTATTTAATGCAATACAAGAAATAATCTTTCACGCTAAAGATTGTTCAGGTACTTTAGAGAAAAAGTTATTTAATTATTTAATGTGAAAATCGAGTGAAATCTCTCACAGAAAAATCCCCGCAAAACAGAGAAATTATAATCCATTTCTTTTACTTCTTTGCAAAGATTATTTGCTCCTTAGCTTGCGATGTCTCATTTTTCCAAATACGAATAAATATTTTCATATAGAATTAATCAAAAAAGAATTATATTAGTAAGAAAAAATTATATTAGTAAGAGAAGATGGTTGCTATTGTCCGCTAGTTAAGTATTTATTTATTTCTATACAACCACGTTAACTTTACGTAAATACAAATTTATTAATGTAATTTGTGAGTTACGGCAGTATTTTATTCAGCTTATCGTTGTTCTAGAAAGAATATTCTTTTAAATTTATTTGTTACAATGTAAGATTCTGTCAACTTGCTTGCTAATATTACATGCTGTAAATAAAAACATCTTTACTTAAAATATGCGATGTGTACTGTTTCTACCTTTGCAGAGATGGGGCTCAAAATTCAACAACTTTTAGGATTGGATCCAAGGAGTACAAACGAACGAGATATATACTGGTAAGAGAGCTTATTGCAACCTCCAACCGGTTGCAACATTAGTGTCACGTGACTGCTGGTCGAATTCCGAAAGTCCGGAAATACTTTACATTCATTTCTATGGGACGAAAGACGCCTGCTCTGCTTGGTCACATAAAATTTAAGAAAAAATGGTTATCCGCTGCAGCGCCTATGGATGTAAAGAAAGTTTTGTAAAAGGGGGACCTGAAACCTTTCATAGCTAAGTTAAAACTGCATGATTTATTATTTTATTTCCAGTATTTTTGTCATTTTACTATCTCTGTTGAATTGGTTGGAAAGTTTCAGCTATATTGTATAAGAAAATTGCCGCTGTATATGACATTTTTAGCATGTATTAATAGCATCAAAATGTAATTAATACTATGACATTATTTACTGGAATCACCTTTTACAAATAATTGTATTTTATGTTCTTTTTCCGTGTACTCCGTTGAAATAGAAAGCTGCGCCAATTGGCGCTAACCTTTTTTCGCCAAGTCGTAAGCGTTCTGCTTTCGTAAACAAGTACTGCCTGAGATAAAAAAAGAAAAGAAAATGCTATTATTATTAAATTATTGAGATAAGATCGTGCGATATGTTTACTTTGCTTTTTTTAAAAAAAAAAAAAAAAAGAAAAAAAAAAGAAAAAAAAAACTAATTCAAAATCTATAAATGAGCTAAAAATGTGTATACTAGTGTATCTTAGCTAATAATGCTTGAATAAATCCTAATTTTTTTTTAATTTAAGCTAATGCGTAAGAATGATCTGGTAAAGCAGGAATAAAGTAGCTGTGAATTCGAACTTACGAAACATTATAAGTATAAGGAATAAAATGGTATTAACAAGCAATGTCAACGGTTTGCCTATACTTAAAAGTGCAACCTATTTATAACTTAATCACCTCAATATTTGATTGAAGAGTTTTTGCTTTCATAGTAATATTTGTTTAATTTAAGATTTTTTAAAAACCTTTTCCTTTAAAACCATTTTTTAGCAACATAAATATATCATAACTATAGAATTTTCTTTAATTTATAATGAGGATTAAGTGTGTATTAAGATTTTTAGTAGGAATTATATTTAAAAAAAAAATCATTGAAAACAGGCCTTAACTTTTTGTTGCATACAAGCAGTATATATATATATATAGTTTGTCAAAAAAAAAGAACCCCATCAAAACTATATCTGAGTGAACTTTTGCAGGTTTGAATGAGGCTTTCATCATTATATCTTTACTATTATATTAGTATTATATCTTTACATCATATATTTTCACTTTCTATTCATAAAAGCTTTTTTTTTTTTTTTTTTTTTTTTTTTTTTCTCTTTTCTGTGAAACAGTCAGTTTTATTTAAGACCTGTATTTGTTAAATTAGAAGTATGTATTTTTAATTTGTAGTTTGTATTTTATTCACACTGTTTTATGTATTGACTTTTTAAAAGTAAATATCATATTCTTTATATATGTATGAAGATTTCCATGGTTTTACAAGCTAACTTTTTTTTTAATTTATATTATCTCCCAAAAAAAAAGTGCATAAGTCAAATTTCCCATATCAGAGCCTTATATAGGGTATTGTATTTCATAAAGTTATTCATGTAGTGTATAATAATGTGTAGTTTCTATATTTCGACCACATTGTGTGTTTTTGTTTTAAAAAGCTCATTACTTATTCACAGATCAAAAATAGGAAATTTGGAATATACTTGACTACCAGTTTGAGTAGGTGATTTTTGGTACTTGTTCCTGATATACTTTAGAAAAATAATTTTAATTTAAATAAATAAAAAATAGCATTAATCCACTTACTTTACAGTAAATACTATATTTAAATGCACATTTTCGTAATGTGTTTATTTAATTGGGATACAGGAATAAAATAGAATATGTATTGTCATGTTTGAATTTATAATTCAGAAAGAAAATTTTATTTTGGAAATGTACATTTTACAGTTGATGTGCAAAATATGAAATCTTACTAAATTTAATGTATAGCAGCATACAGTTAAGGCAGTAGCTTCCAAAATTGCATGAAATTATTTTCTGGGCAATGCTAAGTTTACAAGCACTTTAATATGCAAGTAACTGAAAAAAAAATGGGCATTTACAATCAGTGAAAGATCTTTTTAAAAATAAAAATTTTATTTACTGTCGTAAATTTCCAAAATGCAAGTACTATTGGTAACACTGAAAGGTCAAAGGTAAATGAAATTGTTCCAAAAACTATTTCTGACTTTAAATAAGTAAAATTATGTTTACTTAAATATAAGGAAGTAAAATATTTTTCTGTAATAAGATTTCAGTATAATTTATCTTTTTGTATCATAAACTGTATTATAAGTTTGGACAGCAATAGTTTATAGTTCCAGCTGAAAGCCAACAGTCTGTAAGTATATATTTCATGAATTGCATAAATACATATATTACAATGTGATTTTCTTTTTCTCTTTAGGATGCAATGCATTAAAAATAAACGAGATTTTTTTACCTTCTCAAATATTATAACAGTAGTGCAATTAATTTTTAAACGTTATTCAAAATTAAAGTTTCCCTCTCAATTTTTTTTATTTATTTTAGATTTTCTTTCTAAAATTATTTAACCTAAACATCTTGTGTGTGCTCTATCAGCGTAATATCACGAAATACATGAGCATCACGCAGAGCATTCATTAATATTTTAATGAAGATAATCACATGTATATATGCTAATTAACCGAAGACTACTGCTAAGCATCCAACAACTACTTTTTGTAAAATTTAAACAAGTTATGGCGCAAATAATTTAAAGCCATTATTAAAATATAGATAAAATATTCAGGAAAAAAGGGGTTAAGTTATATCTTAAAATAATTGTAAACAATCGAATAACCTAATTCGAGGCTGTTGTCTGCCGACTGCCAGCAAACGGAAACAAAAAACACCACCTGCCATATCAAAAGCGCGCCAAACTGGCGATGAACAGCCTAAGCTATCACTCACCAAGAGCATAAGTCACGTGGTATATGTTGGAGACACCCTAGCAGTCGAATTCTCTGTGGGTGAGCAGTCTACCTGTTATATGAAGTCGTTGGTACAAACCATGATCCCACCTAAGGTTGATTTTTCGCAAGTCCGTGCAAAAAGACTTAGCGGGTGCAAAACAAGACATCTGTCAACTGTGTATCTGTCAGAGCAGACGGCACAGAAGAAGGAAAATCGAGCAGCAGCAGTTTATGTACGAGAATAACATGCGCTTTTTGTTTAGTGCAATGCGTATTATTTAGCATGAAATATGAAAAGTAGGGTAAAATCTTAGTTTAGACCAGTTTACTATTCATCATAAATGTCGCGTTTACTGCTGATGATAAAGTAGCCAAATCCCTTGTGTACCGTATACTAGGAGAAATTTTAAATAAGTAAGTTGAGATACTTAAAGACTCCAGAACGTCATGTTATGGTATTGTAGATGTTATGGTATGATAGAACTACACAAAAAAGTCGTATTCGTTGGAAATACATTCCTAACTTTTAATGAAGTTCTCCATGAAAAGTTTTATCACTAAATGTGTGTGCTCTATCAGCGTAATATCACGAAATACATGAGCATCACGCAGAGCATTCATTAATATTTTAATGAAGATAATCACATGTATATATGCTAATTAACCGAAGACTACTGCTAAGCATCCAACAACTACTTTTTGTAAAATTTAAACAAGTTATGGCGCAAATAATTTAAAGCCATTATTAAAATATAGATAAAATATTCAGGAAAAAAGGGGTTAAGTTATATCTTAAAATAATTGTAAACAATCGAATAACCTAATTCGAGGCTGTTGTCTGCCGACTGCCAGCAAACGGAAACAAAAAACACCACCTGCCATATCAAAAGCGCGCCAAACTGGCGATGAACAGCCTAAGCTATCACTCACCAAGAGCATAAGTCACGTGGTATATGTTGGAGACACCCTAGCAGTCGAATTCTCTGTGGGTGAGCAGTCTACCTGTTATATGAAGTCGTTGGTACAAACCATGATCCCACCTAAGGTTGATTTTTCGCAAGTCCGTGCAAAAAGACTTAGCGGGTGCAAAACAAGACATCTGTCAACTGTGTATCTGTCAGAGCAGACGGCACAGAAGAAGGAAAATCGAGCAGCAGCAGTTTATGTACGAGAATAACATGCGCTTTTTGTTTAGTGCAATGCGTATTATTTAGCATGAAATATGAAAAGTAGGGTAAAATCTTAGTTTAGACCAGTTTACTATTCATCATAAATGTCGCGTTTACTGCTGATGATAAAGTAGCCAAATCCCTTGTGTACCGTATACTAGGAGAAATTTTAAATAAGTAAGTTGAGATACTTAAAGACTCCAGAACGTCATGTTATGGTATTGTAGATGTTATGGTATGATAGAACTACACAAAAAAGTCGTATTCGTTGGAAATACATTCCTAACTTTTAATGAAGTTCTCCATGAAAAGTTTTATCACTAAATGTGTGTGCTCTATCAGCGTAATATCACGAAATACATGAGCATCACGCAGAGCATTCATTAATATTTTAATGAAGATAATCACATGTATATATGCTAATTAACCGAAAACTACTGCTAAGCATCCAACAACTACTTTTTGTAAAATTTAAACAAGCTATTTTTCGATCCACTCAGAACACATCATCATGAGACATGTAGCAAGGCCATTTCATGTTTAAATGTTTGATGAAGCAACTTCATGTGTAGCATCCCTATAACAAGTCGCTTAGTGAGAGGAATGTTTTATAAGAGTGCAAGCAAAATCTCACAACAGAGAAACCTTTTGTATAAAGTATCTCACAAGTCATTTAGACTAAAATAGAATTTAAACATGCAGACAATTATTCACACTGGGGACAAATCTTATATGTGTCAAATGTGTAATAAATTATTTCGACGGAAAATTGATTTAGATAAGCATATGCTTATTCACACGGGAAAGAAACCTCATCCATGTTATGTATATAAGAAGTCATTTACATTAAAAGGTGATCTAAACAAGCATATGCTTATTCACATAGAAGAGAGACCTCATGTGTGTGAGAGTATAATGTGTGAGAGAGTAAAAGAGTACTTTAAATATGCATATACTTGTACACACTGGAATCAAATCTTACATGTGTGAGGTATGTAACAAATCATTTAGAGTGAAGTGTAATTTAAACAAGCATATGCTTATTCACACAAGAGGAAAACCTTATGTGTGTCATATATGTAACAAATCACTTAAACTAAAGTGTGATTTAGAAATACATATGCTTATTCACACAGGAGAACAGTCTCATTTTTGTGAGATATGTAGTAAGGCATTTAGATTAAAGGTCAATTTAAAGAAGCATATGCTTCTTCACACTGGAGAGAAAACTCATATGTGTGAGGTATGTAACCGTTCATTTAGTCAAAACACTAATTTGATCAGGCATAAGCGTATTCACACAGGAGAGAAAAATTATGTGTGTGAGTTATGTAACAAGTCATTTAGACAAAAGCCTCATTTAACAAAGCACTTGCTAATTCATACAGAAGAGAAGCCTCATGTGTGTAAAGTATGTGAAAAGGCATTTAGACTGAAAGATGTATTAAATAGGCATATAATTATTTCCACAAGAAACAACCGATACTTGTAACAAATTATTCAAATGAGAGAATTTAAAGAAACTTATGTTTCTTTATGTAAGTGAGATGCCTCGTGTCTTGACAAAAAGGTATATTAAGTAAGGATCTGTCCATGCAGCAAAGAAGCCTCATTATATGAGGTATGTAACTTACGTTCGATTTAAATTCTTAAAATAACATTCTTTTCCCCACAAGTGTTTTCTTAGCAGCCCAGATGTGCGAGATGTAGCTTTGTTATGTCTCTTAAGCATTGCACTTTAACATGTTTGACATTCTCATCATAAGTAAACCTCCTGCATAATTACCTCTTAAATGTTGAGATTACTCAGAAGTCTGATATTATTTTTTATAGGTTTTGTATGCAGTAGTCTAAGTATAGAAGATGAATTTGAAACTATTGCTAATGCTACAGCTGTAGTATGTTTCGTATGCAGTAACTTCTGGAAGTGCTTTGTTAGAAGTTCTCCCGTAGAGAACCTGGTAAATGAAAACACTGCCAAAAATAGTAATAGTAATCCCATAACCTAGGGGAGTCTGGTATGGTGAGGTAGCAAAACTATTCCTGTTACGTTGTTTTTGGTTTTTTACATTGCGTTGGTAATTTTGCATGTTGTAGCATCATACTTATCGTCTTTACACATGTAATTTATTCTTCGCTTATTTACTATAATTTTGTCTGATTTCCATGCTTTCTTAATTTTTTTCTAACAATGAGTAGATGGAATTATTTTCATTAAATTAAGGAAGTTGTCTTAGGTAGATGATTGTCTTCATTGATGCATCTAGGAAGTATTAATGCCTTCATCAAAAACATTTTCGCCGCAAACAACGGATCAGCGGATATTTTGATACCGCTAAGTAAAAAGCACGGGGCAAAGGGAACAACTGTTATAATTGATGAATGATAGACGTGTCCATTCTTAATCAGGCATGGGTGTTATGTGCATCAGACTGTTAATCATTCTACTTTTTTTTTTTAATCTGGCAGGTGGTGCACATACATTGTGCAAAAAGTTGAACAGGCGGTATCTGAAAATGAAATTACATTAAAAAAAATCTTCATTGGGAAAATCTAGCTGTTTTCCCAATGAAGATTTCTTTATGTTCACCTTTCTTTTGATCACATGTTTAAATAAATATTTTAGTGTGAAGTTAAACATAATGGCAAGTTCCAGTCACGAAAATTTTAAACACAATTAATGTTTACATCTTTTCAGGGTAATAAGATTCCGGTAATTTATTTAATGGCCATGATTTTTGGAAAAAAGGAGAGCCATGAAAGTTTGAAAATTAGAATGATATATTACTAGATATAAGTATACAAGTTTTTAAAATTCTTATAAATAAGAATTAATTAGAAATCTATTTCAATAATAATATTGAAATTTACTTTTTTATGCTAATGTTTACTAGCATATATATAAATTCATCCTTTTCCACCAACCTCAAATGTTACATATAGGGTTGGGAGCAAATTGGTAATTATTATAACTTTCCTTTAGAAAAGATCACAGTACTTTTTGATTATGTGCACCCTCAATAAAATATCACAGATAAGTTTTCATAAGGCAATGTAGTATACAGTCAAAAGTCTTTAATCCGGACTCGTCGGGACTTCGACGATTCCGGATTATCGATTTTTCCGGATTATAGATCATCAGTTTAAATTTGGTAAGATGACATGCAGAAATTATAAAATTAAAAAATATGAAACCGTAATTTATGAAATAAAGAACAGTTATGATCTAAAGGGTATCAAAATTTACAAAAAAATAGCTTAATATTTATTTGTTTACTTTATTAAACATTTCTTTCAACGCGCGCATGCGTAAAGCATACATTGCGCATAGTTGAAATTAGAAAATTGCAACCAGAAAACTATTTCATGTGTATTCGTGATATTTATAATGAATTTGATTTAAATCATATCAGAGTACATCGAGATGAAATACTACATTTAGTAATGAACTATAAGCCGAATAGAAAAAAAATCTGCCCTGAAGATAAGGATAGTGCTGACAGATCAACTTCCAGTTCATTGCGCGCCGCGACGTTCCCCTCCCGCAGAGCAGCGTGAAATTGATAAACAGATTTCCGAATGGTTAGAGAAACAAAGGATATGCCTTTATCCATTTTTTGCAGCAATTTCACTTTTTGTTTGATGGACATCAAAACATGCTTCCGCTTTGTAGATCCTTTGACAGTATCCAGCATTGGAAATTCTATTTGACATAATCGAAAGTTCAAGCTTACTTTTATAAAGTTGCTCTAACAGTCTGCAAAAAATAACAAGCCGGATCCAATTCGAAGATTAAGGAACAACGCAATCTGTAATATTAACTGAAATAGATAATTAGATAATTTTAGCTTAGCTTATACCATCCGTTATACATTAAACGCGCATGCGTAAAGGTATTACGAGCATGCGTAAACGCATATGCACATGCGCAGAAAATTTGTAGCTTTGAGGTCCGTATTATAGATCATTCCGGATTATGGGCGTCCGGACTGTATCACCAAAATAGTAATGTGCCAATTCATGATGTCATCAAAAATCATTGTGCATTGTGCATCACATGTCTGGTTTGGCCGGTGCAGTTGTTGAGTTTGTGCAAAACTCTCTCTCTTTTTTTTTAAAGCAAAAATAGATTGCTCTGTACATGGGAAAAGCATCAATCTAAAAATGAAAGCTTTCTTGAGAAAAGTTACTGTTTTATTATCAATGTTTCTTGCTTTTTAAATTTTACTAATTGATTGCTTTCGTATGAAAATTTTAGTGCGCTACCATTTTAAAAATGGCTGTTGCCTTTTGTGTATTAGCTTGTCAAAAAGATTTGCAACTTTGGTGGTGGAAGGATGCTGATAATCAAAAAGTACAAAGATCACCTAATTATTAGTATTTAATACCATGTCAACAAATACTGGCAACATATAAACAGAAAACACAGTTTATAAATGATATTTATTAAATAAGGTTTATATGATACATTAAACGGTTATTCTATATTTTAGGGTGTCCCTTGGATTATCGCCAGGTTGTTTCATTTATGGTAACCTGAGTAGTTGAATGTTATGGAAACCCTATTATGATTTGATTTGTTCTGTGATTGTGGTGATTTTCACCATTGGGAAAGTATTTATAAGGGCTTGTCTCTGCGTTGGATGTCAGTTAGGAAGTATGTTGCCTTCTTTATTTTGTGCTGTTCACCATAAAATGGCTATATGTGATGAGATTAATCTGAAGTTTCTGTATGTTTTGAAACGAAAGGAAAAAAAAAAAAAAAACATTAATTGATTTGGTGTGTAAATGAAGGTTTACTTAGTAGTCTTTATAAGTGTCCTGTTTGTACGAAGGAAATGCGTATGGTCAAACATAAAGATCGTTCAGATGGCTTTCATTGGGTTTGTCGCAAGAAAGGTTCATGCAAGAAATGCTGCCAACCCTCCGGCACTATGGAGGATATTTTTGTGAATTTATGTGGTGAGGGAAGTATGCATATTCTAGTTCAGAAGATAATTTTAAAAAGTTTTTGGATGCCATTAAGGAATTTTGCGTGCCACAGACTGAAGACACAGAAATTTCTAAACATATTAAGTCGATATTTTCTTTTTGTAGTGGTTACATGCGATAACATGTATTTATGTTACTTCATTGTTTGATTTAAAATGCAGTTTATTGGGCTTTGATTGGCTACAAATTTTGTTCATTTTTGTTCATCAATTTTGGTGATGGTGTGTATTTAATTATGGCAAAGCACACGAGGGCTATCTCGCCTGAGGGGATGGATGCCTTCGTGGAGGACTTTCTAAGGGAAATTGGCTCGTATACACGTTACACATGGGGAAAACCACGAAAACGCCCATGTAGCCAGCCCGTTCGCGGGATTCGAAACTCGGACCGATCTACCAGTGTTCAGCGACTTTACCGCTCGGCCGCTGGTGGGCCAATTTTGGTGATGAGTAGCTTTGTTTTAACATTATATGATGTCATCATTCTTCAGATTTTAAGTAAAAATAGATCGATGTGTACATGGACAAAGGGACAGTGCCGAATTTATACAATTCTCTGATGTTTTAAGTGAAAATAGATCCATGTGTGCATGGACACTGAGTTTGCAATTCTTTGAATTGTTACTTTGCTTTTGTGTAGCGGCCATCTTGAAATTGTGCCTTGCTGGCTAATCGCCAATTTTCGCCAAGGGACACCCTGAAATATATTCTTACCCATTAAACATATATATGTATATGTGGGGTGGTTTTTTGTCTTGGGCAAGTCTACGTAATATGTGCACTTAATAAGATTGTTTTTGTCTCGTCGCCTATATTGATAACGCTAAGCGATGAGAAAAAAATATCATTCAAAATAGCAGTGAAAATTAACCAATTTAATTATAAATAAAATATGACTAGAAACATAAATAGGCATTTTCACAGCATTTTAATTCGGGAAATGCAAAAGTTTGCTTATGAGCAGTTCATAAAGTTTCTGGAAATTATTTGACCGATGCTAGGGGGCATGCTTCATTGGAAGACAACTCCCCAATATAAAATTTCAAATTAGGCAACCTTTATTGGTTGTACCTATTTTCGGGGAATTTCTGTTGAGGGATGAAAAATTCTGCAAACTTGTTTTTTTCTGCCCCTGAAGGAGAGGGACATATGTTTGATCTCCCTCCAAATTGCTCGAGTAATTGAAAATCTGCATAAAACTAAAGCTGACTAAAATGAAACTGAGATATCCGGTAACAATCTCTTACGTGGCAATTTTCATAATGTGTTTTAAATTTATTTGGTAATTTTGGTTTTAAGAATTTATTCTGAATATTTTGATAAATCAACTGTTGTTGATCATGATAAGTGATATATTTTTCCATATTTTTATATAGAAAAGAATGGGACTTCAGTAACAGTATCCAATTGATATTAAGTGTGATCGCATTACATTAAGTGGCACCTACTATATATTTATATGATATGTTACTGTTGTTCTTCCTATGTATATAGTTATCTGTTTTTGTGTTAAAAAAATCAGAAATGTGCAAATTTAACATTGTGCTCATTAAACATCATATATCTGTAATATATAATGCATTACTGTAGTTCTCTCCATGTAGACAGTAACATGTTTTCGCTTGCAAAATTATCAGAGAATTGCACAAACTAACACACCTTCCTAACACATAATATTTCTTGATGGCATTTAAACATTTTGGATGTTGGGAAACATTTTCAAAATGGTACCTCACTAGCAGTTTCCTGAAGGAACGACAAATTGATGAAGTTTCAAAAACAAGAAGCAGGATGTAAAATTTACATTTGGATTGTTTTTTAATCTGCTTTTCATGGTTTCTGAATAGTTTTAATATACTCTGAAAACAAAGGTTAAAAGCTTTCTGTGTTGTTTTTTCTTCCTGCTTCAATGAAATAGACATGAAATAAATTTAAAACTTGCTGTTACAATGCTTTAGGATGAACAAATT